TTGTATAATTCTTCTCCCAAAGATTTATTGGAAATTGGCACTTTTAGCTCAGCGCCGTGAATAATGTGTTCTTCGCCCATCATCAAACTTATGTGTTCACCAAAATGTAATATTACTTACTGTTTGATTTTAAAAATAAAAGGTGTATTTATACATATACTTATCTATTCATACACAGTGTACGGTACCTATTAATTATTTTTCGAGATAAGAGTTACCCAATGTTTGATAAAATTATTATTTCTACATACTTTTAATAATAATGTAACAAATGAATCGGATTCTTAATTTATTTTACTTCAGAAATGTTTTTCAATATATTGACTCTTGATCTAGTACTACTTTTTCCTGGGGCTTCTACACTTCCCACTAAACAACTTCTAGTGTCTCTAAAGGCCTCTTTTAGGAGACTGCTCCAGTCTCTTATCCAGCACTCTCCCATCAGTTTTCCTAAGTGGTTAATAAACTAAATCGGCCGTACCGCTCCGGGCTCTTTCTTCGGTACGGCTTTGAATATAAAATTATATTCAAAGGGTGCGAGCACCACCGAGGTCATGATGCTCTTGAACCACTAGCGCTATTAGTTCTGGAGGAAGCCCTGTTCGCCCTCTGTTCACTTCCTTTGCCGCCCGCTTGAGTTATTGCGAACTACCCTCAGAATATCTGCCCCCAAATAAATGCGCCCCCTGTTATTTTACGTAAGGCGTAAAACGCTTTATCAATAAGAAATGCTTTAGTTCTTGATTTGAATAAATTAAAAGGTAAAGCCTTAATATTGGGAGGAATATAATTATACATTTTTATATTGATATAATCAAAACTGTTTTGCGTCTTACTTAAACGACAAAAAGGGACAAATGCATTTAATTTGTTGCGGGTGTCATAATTATGAACATCGCAATTTTTAACAAAATAATGTTCATTGCGCTTAACAAAACAAAGACAAGTAAAAATGAAAATAGATGGAAGCGTTAATATATGGTGATCAATGAAAGCTTGCCGACAATCATCTCTAAATGAAATGTTAGCAATAATTCTAACGGCTTTTCTTTGTAATTTAAATAATTGCCTCCAACAAGCAAAGTGACTCCAAACATTAATAGCATAAGACAAGTGGCTATGTATGAGTGCAAAATAGGCAGTTTTAAGAATATTCATAGTTACATTACTCGCTAATCTACGCAAAACAAATATATTTGCTTAACTTCGTAGCAACAAAATTACCGTCAACATCAAAATTTAATTTACGATCAATACAAATTCCTAAAAATTTCACATATTCAGGTGTTGATAAATCATGTGATCGCAGTGATAATATCATGGATACCGTTTTCATTGTATTTACCTATATGTAATAAGTTTATAGTGCACCAAGTATTAGCTCGTTGAAACTGAAGTAATTCATTGGAGTTATTTAGTGCCCCGTTAATGTGTTCGACCCCAACAAGTAAGGTAGCATCATCTGCATAAAGAAGGCAGTTTTCATTTCCAGAAATAAAGCTTGGCATATCATTAATATAAATTAAAAAGAGAAGAGGCCCCAGAATACTACCTTGGGGTACTCCTTTCGTTATACAGAGTTTTCCTGATAGGTTATTATTTATCCTTACACATTGAAACCTATTTGTAAGGTATGATTCAATGAGGAGTTTGCTAGTAACATCAAATCCATAGACTTTAAAAGGGGGTTATTCCCTCCGATCACATTCCAAAGAGACACGACCAGATGTAGAAAGCATTTCCGGTTGATATGGAGATGGATATTATTACCCGGACCAATCGCAAGCTTTCGACACGCCTCGTGAATATCTACATACGACGACCGTTACGTAATACTAGAGTGTCGCTTTAAAAAAATTTGGTTTTGAATTTGTATTTTGTTCAACTCGAGGAAGTTTACACATACATCTCTTCCTAGCGAACATGAACAAAAGTATGTCTGGCGATAACAAGCGATAACAAGAAACGCATTGTGGAAAGCGAGCGCGGTTGCCACGATCCCTTCGAAGCTAAAACTTTCGTTCCGTTCTGTTTAAAACCGAGTACGTGGCGAAAATGCGGGTTTGTTTGCGTTCAGAAAATAGGTCACTTTTCGGTTTTTCTCGTGGGCCAGATTCAAATAGCGAAAAAAGTAGGAAAAGGAGAGATCCTTGTTCGATTTCGCGAGTCGAAACGTACTACTTGGGTGCGTTAAACATTAGATTCGAAGACGAGTTAGCGAGCGATCACGTACATTGTTTTTTTTCTATCGTTGATAAATTTATTCTAAGTTGATTTTCGGGAACCATCGCGTTACGTGCGTCCCAACTGAATTCTTAGCGAAGTTATAAAATACGAGAAGATTTGCAATCGAAATTCAAGAACCAAAACGTGCATTTAGTGGGGGAAATTTATCAGAACGGTAGTCAAAAATTAACAGTTCAACTAACTGAAGGTACTAAGGTTATTTGAGCTAAAGAAGATTAGTGAAGCTGTATTTTGTCGTCCTCATCGCCTCCTCCTTATTTCATCTATACTTTCCAGCGGGGCCATTAAGAGAATAAGAACAGTTTCCATAATAAATAAATAAATTGTTTTATTTTCAGTCCTTTATACCACCTCCATGTGCGTCTTTCACGATATTCTACTTCCACAATCATCACGCACTCCATTTGTGTTACGCGCTTCTAGTATTAGAATATGCAGCTAATTTTAAAAAAATGAAAAAAAAAAGGTTTTCGCCTTAAGGCGAGTAACTTTTCCATAAATTGATCTATATTTCCGGAAAGGTCATATAACGGACTATTTATGTGTACAAAGGAAAATAAGTTATGGCATAAATATTCTTATAAATAAGAAAATTTAGCATTGCACAATCTCCGCATGCGCATACGTCATGTTTAAAATATGCGATACGTTGACCTTTACTAGAAGAAAGTGGCCATAATAGCCAACATGAGTTGGAAAATACACTAAAAATCGCTCCCCACGAACACAACTAGTTTCCATGGTGTCAAGTGGCCCGATAAACAGAAAAATATTATGTATTTGATGTTTGGAGATTCTAGTATATGTGTACACAAAAATTGTACCAATTCTACATATAGGTTAATCTTTATTGAAACAATTTCTTATACACTAAGCTTTGATTGTCTCTCTAATGTACTGATCTCTTAATACGCGATGGAGAATTTTTCCACTGCCGTTTCGAGGGATCTGGTTCACAAATTTGACACCTCCTCGAAGTTGCTTATAAGGTGCCACTTGGTCTACAAAAATAGACAATTTATTTAATTACCTTCAAAAGTAACTTGTACTACCGGCAAGAAAATCCTTCACTTCTTCTTCTGTTAGCGTTTGGTTAGGGACGGATACCACAAATGCAAAGGGCACCTCACCGTCTCGCTCGTGAGGAACGCCGATTACAGCGACGTCAGATATCTTGGCATTGTTCATTAAAATAGCTTCCAGCTCTGCGGGAGCAACCTAAAAATGTTAATGCAATTTCATGTGCATCCAAACGATATCTGAATCCTTACTTGGTGCCCTTTACACTTCATTATCTCCTTTAGTCTGTCCACTACATATATCGCATGGTTTTCATCGTAGTACGCAATGTCTCCGGTATGTAGCCATCCATCTGTGTCTATAGCATCCTTAGTTGCTTCTGGATTGTTTATATATCCCTTCATTATAACAGAACCACGACACCACAATTCTCCACGTTGCATGGGCCCCAACGATTTTCCTGTATCGACATCTACAATTCTTGCCGAGAGGCTTGGCAAAACGCAACCACATGAACCGATAGCGTTTGTATTCAATATTGGACTTATCGCTCCAGCGGTCGTTTCTGTCATTCCATACCCTTGCTGAACTCCATTTACTTTAAAGCTAGTACATCCCTTATTTACTAAGTCTTGAATTCCTTTAACTCACCGTTTAATTAATATCTGCTCAATATCCTTACTTAATGGTGCCGTCCCACAAAATATTTGCTTGATATTTGATAAGTCATACTTTTCTACCAAGTCACTTTTTGCCAAAAAATTCCCAATTGATGGTACGATGTTAAGGTCTTCAATTTTATAATCTTGTAAACACCTGAGATAAACTTCGGGGCTGAATTTGTTCATTATTACTACCAATCCCCCCCAAATTATTTTCCACGCGACCAAGTATAAGCCGTACGCATGGCATAGGGGCATGAAAGCCAAGCCTGGCGTGTTAAGTGGTTTTGATTGAAAAATATCACTGCAAACAAAGAATGATGGAAATAATCAAAGTCGGTGCCATGTCGACTAGACTTACCCAAAAATTGAAATAGACGCGTTGTAGTTATAATGCGTCAACATGACTCCCTTCGGTAATCCAGTCGTGCCCGAAGAGTATAAAACAAATGCAACATCTTCCTTGGCATTCACTGGACTAGGCTGGAATTTATTTACGTCGAAATTTTTAGGGACGTTTTCCTTAATAAAATTTTCTACTGATTGACAACCATTATGATCGTCTTTTTGATCCAATATTATTATTTTAGGTGTCACCTTCAGCTGACCTTTCACGTTCAGTACCACCGCACTTGACCCAAGCGAACAGAATATTATAGACGGCTGAGAAAGGTTGGCAACATGCAGTAATTCTCCTGAAAATAATGACGTTCTCATTCCACATTGAAAGATAATATCTTACAGCAATCTAAATTGACGGGGTAAATTGTACCTGTTTAATTTAAGCTATTCTAAGGTCACTTTCCTAAATTTTAAAAATCGGGGAAGGAAAACACTCCTCACTGACAGAAACTTGAATACCATGCTTAAGTTACGCACACTGCAATGTTACATCTGGCCAATTCTGCTCTACCACTATAAAAAAGGCTTTACCGAGAATATGCTGAAAATCCCGTGGACGGCCAAGATAACAAACGCACAGATCCTGCAGGACATGCACACGGACCGGGACCTGCTCAAAATCATCAACAGCAGGAAATTCAAATACCTAAGCCATATATCGCTGGGAGCCACTTGCCACACACTCTGGAGGACATTATCGAAGGCAAGAAACGTTCAGGAAGACCGAAAATGGCCTGGCTAAATAACGTTAACACCTGGTTTCACATGACAAAAACACAAATTTTACAGACTGTGCTAGACCGAGAAAAATAACGGAATTCGCAAACGCCATTAGGCAGCATTAAAGAAGAAGAATATGAATTTTGAAAAGGGCGTTAATTAGTTCAAAAGAAATTAGGTAGGGATTATTCCGGGGATTTTTCTTGAAGGCATTATGGCTCAAGCCGTACCCCGGATGCAATAAATTTCGTTCCGAGATCGCCGGATCGAGTTTTCCGAAAATAATCTAAGGCGTAACTGTTATCGATCGAGGACAAAGTTCAGTTGCTGCGAAGAAACAAAAGAGGGTGACATTATCGTTATATTTCGTAGTGGCAAAATTATTCTAAACGATTCGAATGAACATTAATAAAAAGGTAAGGGAACACTTTGGTTTAGTGACAAATTGTCTCCTTTTGTGTTAGAACAAAAAATTGAGAACCAATGAAAACAATATCTTTCGTGGTCATAGAAGATTATTCGTTTAAAAAAATTACGTCCAGAAAAAAAAGCGATTCACTGGAGATTTCAACGAAGTGGAGATTGCCGACGGAAAGTACAAATCTACAGCTCCATTGTTTAATTTTTCTGCGTCATTGTCGTTGTAAAGAGTTTCGTTCCGAGCTGTCAATAGACAGCATTATAATATACTGAAGAAAATTCTTTGTATGAGGTACAGTGATATTTATTTATTTATGTCAAATTGTGGGGTTGCTTATCTTTAAGAAAAATTGACGTAAATTATTTTGGATTAAATTAAAAAAATTATCACAGAAAATTTGGATTTGTATGTTCTTAAAGATAGCCATCTCATGGACAGAGTAAAAAGCTACAATCACGTTATCAAGCATATCGCAACGGCGGCGGTACATTATTTTTTCTTCGTTTCCCAAATATTAGGGTAGTTTAAGTTACACCTGTGGCGTAACTGAAAATATTATTTATTTTTTTCCAAAATTTGGAAAAAAAAGGTTTCCGTGCATTTATATAACGCAATTCGTGATACTCAAGAGTATATAGAATCAAAAACAAAGCCCATCAGTCCAGTTACTATTAGACCTAGTCAGTACCGTATAAGCATAAAGATCGAACCTGTAGTGTAGTAGGGGCTGAACGTGGTTAAAGGTACACCACAATACAAAGCGGCTAAAACGGGATTGCAATAGTATAAACTGTTTTCACTGCAAATCCCAATTATATCGTTCTTCCCCAAACCGTAGTTCCGCAAGGCTTCTGCTAAAAGGCAGGAGTTTTTGAGTAGAGCCTTGTTACTCACAGTTTCCCCAGACACCGAGTCTATCTGAAAGAAAGTACAGTATATTAGTTAGTATTAGTTAGTGTAGAAAGTACAAAGCAAAATTTACACATATGCCGCTTCATAGCGCACATGAACAAAAGCAGGTCTGGAATACGTATACATTTTCGGTAAAAGTGTGCATTTGCGTGATAAAAGGTGGTACCTGCTTGTAAGGGAGTTTCGGCAGAGGAGGTTACATTTTCTAGGGGTTGGCACGTACTATCTGTTTGTTTTCCGGGTCGCCAAACCTTTTACCAGGATGGTGCAAAAAGTCAAGTCAAGCGGTATTTTTCATGAAGAGAATGATAAGATACCACAAGCTTATTCACTTTGTTTACGGATTATTGGTTATGCTATAAAAGTATAAATAACAAAATTAAGTCACTTCGTACAACTGTACACTGATTTTTTGATAACTGGTAACACATTATTTGGCTACATGTTGCTGACTCTTAGTTGGCCTGGTGATAAGTCGACGTATGTTGTCAACATGTAGGTAACCGGCTCCAAACGATCAGTAAAGCGGATATGATTGTTGAATGTATTATATGACAATAGGGTGTACTTAATTTATCTGGCAAGTGGCATGCAACGATAGACACTCACAATAGGTAAATAAATATAGAATTTGCTAAATAGTAGGATACACGACATGCAATGCTGTTTTTATGTACTTACAAATATTGGAGCTTCAGTACTACCCAGTAAAGCATTATATAACGCAAGTCCCAGAGATTCATTCGAAATTGGCACTTTTAGTTGGTCCCCATGAATAATGTATTCCCCGTCCATCATCACTCTAATGTGTTCACAGAAAGGTGCTACCTACATTCATTGGTCATTCAATTATAAACAAAAGTATTTATACCCATGGTTATCTTTTATTATGTAAGTATTTGGAATTGATTACTTTTTTTACATAAAGATTATAAATATTGTTATTGTTACCATTATTTACTGTGCCCATTTTGCGGTTAAAAAGTATCATGTGCCAAAAACGTGCTATAACAGTAACGAGAATTTCCCTTTTGATGAAATGTAAATGAGAAAAGTAAAGTTACGGTTGCGCCAGCCATCGAGATGGTCATCGAATTGTCTGGAGGTGACTGTACGCGGCGTCCATAGACGTTTCCATTTGCTTTAATCCTTTTGTGTCACGGTTAGTGACTTTTTCTTTCTTTCTTTCTTTTTCTAAATTAGCTATTATACAAATGGTCACCGAAAAAAGCCTGATGCTAATTCTATATTCTCCTGGTTTAACGAATAGATCTGTAGGGAGTAACAAGGGTTCCGTGTACACAGAAAATGATCCAGTTTAGTAAAAATGCATAATTTAAAAATTGATAAGATAAATTTGTCTGACCGAATGTGTGTTTTAGCAATGTAAGGAAATTAGTTACCTACTTCATTTATTCATAACACAAGTTGCTTTTTTATCTAACCGTAAGGAAGCTAAAAGGGAATTAGCAAAGCGCGGTTAGAAATAGGGTAACGTAATTATTTATAGTACACTATGTGTGCATATTCAGTACCCTATTTGTGTATATTCGGGATGAGTTAATGACGCGGGTCATTGTAATTGAACTAAGAACAAGGAGAGCCGAATTAAAGATACGCCTACCGCAACCGAATGTTAAATGACCAAATGCTTTTAATAGCGCAAAGTAGAAATATATATCATTGCTTGTAGTAGAACGTTCATTGGGCCAGATTTTACTATAAGGCAATATATAAATATTAGTGTGGGCTAGGCGCACACTTGCGATTATCTGTCGCACGACTAGTCGCAAAAATAAAGGGGGTTGGATTCAGGGAGTCGCTCCTGTATGTGGACCTTTACCAACTCCACGTTGTCTCTTCAAAGTACGCGTTTGTCCCGGCTATTGCTACTACTGGAGATGGCCCATTCCATGTGCGTTTAAACCCTCAAGTCGCGGTGTCTCGTGACCTTTCCATTACTCTGTCGCCTTCTTGGGACTGAACCTTGGTGGGTCCGAAGTTGGCATATCTTAAGCGGTAGCGGTATTGGTTGCCATGTATCGCTGGTATTGGGATGAACAAGTGTTATGGATAATACTGCATCCCATGCCTTGGGGTCCTTCCCTTCTAAGTGGATACGCAGCACCTTCTGGATGGAGGTAAATCCGTGGCGTCCGAAAATTTCATTTTCCAGCCTGTTGACCACGATGTCGGTGGTGTCGTGTTGGCGAAACGTAGAGGAAAGGCTTCCACCCACATGCTGTATAGGTTTGTTGCGATGAAGATGAACCTGTTGCCAGTGTTCGCTGCGGTGTACGGTCCCATAAGGTCCCCGATTGATTTCCCATTGGAGACTTGGTTGACGTGGTCGCACGGTAGCGTCTTTTATCGGCTCTCGTTTGTTGGTCAGTGGTAGTATTTGATTCTGGCCCGTTTTATTTTGATTGGCGGTTAAGTATCCATCTCGTACTGTATAGTCTCGGTTGAATCTTATCTATACGGGCGTTTGTACCAGAATGATGGCGTCTCTGAGCCTTTCTTTGACTTGATCCGCAAGCTTGGCTATTTATTCGTTCGCCGCAATCACCAGGTTATTGGGGGTTTCACCCTTCGGATGTTCGATTGTTGGAGGCAGCATGCAATTGACGTTCTCTGACGTAGCTTCGTTCCCGGGTGTTGCTCTCGACCGCTGTCCCGTTTCCCTGATTTCGGCGCCTAGCCAGAGCTAGGCAGCCGCGGCGAACGTGGTATTATGAGCAGTGATGACACCCTGGGGTGTTGGGCGGTCGTTTGGGGTCCGCAGGTGATGATGGTACTGGTAGAGTGTTTCGGACCAGCGCAGCGCCTTGTTGCAGTTCTCGATTTTTTTGGTGAAATAATCGGGATCTTCAGGCTAACTGAGCCTTCCTTTGGAGAAACAGTTGTGGGGAGTCCATGTTCTGCTCTCGACCGAAGAATTCCGAATGGAGAGCTTACCCCGAATCTTGCTGCTGTCGTACTACTTCTCACGGATTTCAGGTCGGTGTAAGTCGGCGAGAATGCTTCATATCCTTTCCACCATTTCGCGGCATCTTCTCTAAGTTGCGCTGTGACCGTCTTCAGTGTTTCCGTTGGGTCGGTCGTTTGGATTTCGGTTTCGAGGGTGCTGAAGAACCCCATCGGGTCCTCTAATTGGTCGCCACTAAAGGTTGGTAGTTCCGGCATCGCGTTCGTTTGAGCTTTCTGGAGTGCGTCGGCCACTCCTTGGTGTCGGTGAGCGTCACTGGATTGGTTTGCCCCGATTGGTTGCTAGGGTAGCACATGTGGATGGCATCGACCCTGACCAATTGGGTTAGGTCAATGCCGGACTTGATGGCGTGCAGTGGCACAAGTGGTTTTTCTGGATGTTGATGCTGCTTATAAACAGTTCGCCGTCGAGAACTCTGACGTTTAGGCCAATAGGGCGCTTGCTGGCAGTGCGGCCGATGTTGAAATTCTTCCTCTGCCGTTCGTAACATCAGTGAGAATTCTATAAGCGGTCCGTGCAGAGTACACCTGTGCAGTGTGGAGTCCATTTTAATTCCACATCTCAGGGACAGCCAGCGAGAAATCTATATTCGGTCCGTGCACAGCAGAGCTGGGGGTCAATAATTTCCATTGTGATTGAAAGCCGTGACCCGAGCGCATCTAAAACTCATGGTGCACAAACACGAGAGATGCTTATGAAGGTTTTAGTTCAATGGCATCGTAGTACTGCCACCTTTTGTAGTTATTGCCATTTTCGTAGTTTTCGCCTTGTTTTAGTATATAAACAGCGTTGTAGTTACTTTGTATTTAAGTACCAAACAGCACTAACGCCTGTGTAGTGCAGGGCTTCTCAGTTATATGGTTCGGACCAACTCACGGACATCTTCACAGAGCCACTGAGTCATGCAGATGATTACTTTTAGAACTTGCAACGGAACCTTACTAGACCGTTTACATTTAAGAATCGGGGATAACGGATTGGTTGAGAACCTGAACCCCAAGCAATTTTGGGTCGTTTCTCGATTAACTGGACTGCGGACGAGGTATAACCAAGTGCATTGGAAGTAGTGCATTTCCTTTTTCACATTTGGTAATTCGTAACCCTGTACGCGTGACGGCATGTGAGTACATTTCCTATCGCAAACTTGAGCAACGCCAAATTAACTTTTTCTTTACAATCCCACAAACTAAAAAACAGAAAGGATATACTGGCACGAAATAAGATATCCCACACGTTAATTACGTGTTTCGAATGCGCCTCAGTTTATGAACTCATGAATCTCCAAGCTATTATCAGCAACGAGGCACCTTGACATCAGAAAACTTGAAGCTGCAGAAATCCGTAGGTAACCTCTTCAATCTGGGTGGAACCTAAGGCAAAATCAGTTCCATATTTAGGACAATTGTCCAACGCTTTCAACGACATATACCACAAATACGAACTTCGGTCTAGGTGATCTGAAATCCAGACAATTTCTATGGGAACGTTTAGCTTTAGGAGAAGATTAATTAGAGGAATTTGGTTGTTCAATTGCTTTTCATTCGCCTTAAATTCGGTATCTTAGGTATGCAAATTTATTAGTGCTTTCGAGGTAAGGTTATTACCTAAATTTCAACAGAGTTAAACAGACGTTATTATTAAAAAGGTCAATTAGCGATAAAGATTGTTTCTGATAACACGTCACAAATGAGACTTGCGTTCGAAAGCTTTATTTCGTAAAGCTCGACGAAGGATTTTACCCGCAGCATTTCTAGGAATCTGGGGTACAAATAGTACGCTTTCCACGCGTTTATATGGCGCCACTTGCTCTGAAACGAGACGATATAGTTTAACAAACAACAGCTCTAAAGGGCACCGGCACGTACCATTGACAAAATCCTTCACTTCTTTTTCTTTTAACATCTTTCCTTGTATTGTTACCACAAAAGCTAAGGGTGTTTCTCCATGTCGGTCGTGAGGAATACCAATCACTCCGGCATCCGCTATTTTTGGATGATTAATCAAAACAGTCTCTAATTCAGCAGGAGCAACCTAAATAAGGCCGTACTTCAATTAGTTTGCTGACGTCTGAAGGTGTAACCTGATATCCTTTGCACTTGATTAACTCTTTAAGCCTATCCACTATGTAGAACATATTATCGCGGTCGTAATACGCCATGTCTCCCGTATGGAGCCATCCGTTCTCATCAATTGTATTTTTAGTGGCTTCAGGGTCATTAAAATATCCCTTCATAACTACATCACTGCGACAACATAATTCTCCAACCATCATAGGACCCAAAGACTTTCCTGTCGTGGTATCTATTATTTGTACAGACATATTCGGCAACGGATAACCACATGAACCGAGTGGAGCTTTGCCGGCAAAATCAGCAGTAATGCCACCAAGTGACTCTGTCATGGCATAAATCTGTAGAATTTTGGTGACGTTAAGTCTGTAAAATAAAATTCACCCTGTAGACGTAAGTACTTTGATTGAAAGTAACGTGATCACTTTCATCTACGTATATAGAAGTGATGCGGTTCTATACATAACGCCCTTACCGCTTAGCTAACAGCGCTTCATTTTCTCTTCGCAAGTATGTAGAACCGCAAGAAACAATTTTCACACTTGTTAGGTCGTAGTTGTCCACCAAAGGACTTTTAATCAAGAAATTAGCAATTGACGGTACAATCGGTAAACTATTAATTTTATAATCTTGAATGGTTCTGAGGTAGACGTTTGGATCAAATTTTTTCATTACTATGGCTCTCTCTCTATAGAGAATCCTTTGTAACCCCATAGTGAATCCATATACATGGTACAAGGGAACAGCTATGAAGCACGTTTGATGCTCTAGAACCCCGTTGAACGCAATGCTGTAACAGATACGTATTACAATAAAGGGTCCGCACTAACAAATTCAATCATCACACTGACTTAACGATCTCAAAAGCTGTATTGAAATTAAAATGTGTCAACATGACACCCTTTGGAAGTCCGGTGGTTCCCGACGAATGTAAAATAACGGCACATCTTCCTTTACGTTGATCGAAGACGGTTCAAATGTCCCAATATCAAAATTTTGGGGCACGTTTTCCAATATAAAGTTCTCCATAGACTGACACCCTTTGTAATCGAAAGTTGCATCAATCACTACCACCTTCGGGACCTTTTTCAGTTGATGCTTTATTTTAATTATTTTAGAGCTCGTTTCAGTGGAGCAAAATATTATCGTTGGTTGCGAAATGTTGGCAACGTGAATGAGTTCTCCTAAAATACAAAAAAAAGTGTCAACCTCAAGGAGTGTTGTTTTAATAAATGAACAGAGTTTCAAGTTTGAATTTTGAGACAGATCTTTAGGAGACCTGCAAGCCGCAAAATTAAGTAAAGAAGTTGTAATTTTTGGATGTAGATAATCGAATACGCTGTATCGGTTGGAAAAAATCGTCGTTTCCTCTCCGTTTTTGGGAAGTTTGCGTGAGGTAAACCATTAATTTAGAGGGGATGTTTTGTCTTTGGGGTTTAACCAAGTAAGTAGTAAGCTGATGTTTTTGCCTTTGCATTTTTTCAAGCTGCGTTCGCAGGTACTGTAATTTTTGAGATTTTTCGTAAATTTATTTTGGCAACCGTACCGCATTTCAATCATCGCTACGACATTTATAACGCAAACTTTTTGAAATTTAAACCTATGTACCGCTTCATATGAAAGGTCGTGCGCTGTTGCCGCGATTACGGCGCCCCGAGCCAGCTACAAGGTTGCGTAGAATCGTTCGGAAGATTATTGGATTACAGGGTACGCCATCATGGTATTTGCTTTGACTCCGTTTCGTCATTGGACTTAGGTAAATACATAATTATAGAAAATTAGAGAGAGAAAAGGGGATAGGGTGCTAGTTCGCCCTTCAATTTTCACGATCTCCTAGTTTCAATTGTGCAGTTGTAAGAGAGATTAGAGCATAAGCGCAGCGATAAAAATGAGTCGGCCCATCAGTCGCACGAGGGTACGCGCGGTGTTGTACACAATTCTAAAACGAACAACAAATACGGAAATTCAAATTCAAATAAAATCACCTCTGTGCTTATTCGTAAGTAATCCCCCGATTTACACTTAATAAATTTAAATTTTGTCATAGGATTTGTCACAGGATGTCCCGTCATAATTTTTGGTCTTTAGACCGAAATAACGTCTACATGACGCTATTAGGTAGGGCCATTTTAAACTCGTGTATAAACCTGTGCGGATAAAAAGTACGAAGCAAAGTACGTAACGCGGCTCTCGTGTTAATAAAATTCCGAAAAAAATAATCTGTTTGAGTGTAGTGCGTACGCATACTCAACTGTTATTATTACAGTTAATATTAACTCTGCCGCTACAAGTAACGAACTGTTTTTAAATTGCGATCGTATAAAGATATACTAGAAAAGCAAATTTACCCGTACGTTTGGTGACTTCATTTCGAAAACAAAATCCGGTCGTAGTTACATAGGCAGAGACGCTTAAATCGTATTTATTGTCTTTGTAACTCGAGATATTTCTTCGAGAATTTGACGCAAGTTTTAAAGCAGTCGAGTTAAATACAGGTTTCATCATCCACTACAAGAGGAGATTTTGTACGAGAGCAAGTCACAAAAGGGTGCAACTGTATCTCCCTAAAACCGACCCGGTTTTCAATTTTTCTTGGAGGGAGCCCTTTTAAAGGGAGGCTCGTCATTCGTCACCTAAAGAAAAACACCGATTCCAGCGATATCTGTATTGGTCGGTTGTCTTTAAGACTTTTCAGAGGATGTTTATTTAGCGGAATCGGAACATCCTTAAAGGCGTGCATTAATATTTTGTTTAAAATAATATTTCCCACGACTGTAGATATTTAGTTAACGATATTTAGATAAGGGAAAAATTAAAACTGATACATTGCCACGAGATAGGGGTTATATTTGTTGCATTTATACGAAACACGTCAATATTTCGAATCACAAAAGGTAAAGTAGAATAGAATTTGATCAACTTCAGTTTGTCAAGATATATTCAATTATTCATTGTGGAATTCGTATTCAGTCAAAACCAAAGCGTCAACTTTTTTGATTTTCAGATTAAAAAACGAGAAACAGGCCAGACTACCGCAAGATATGGGATAATTAAATTTTATTGCAGAGCTAGCCGTGAGTAAAATTAATTGATAGAATTTTTTTAGCATTCGTTTGATAAACGTATATAACACCTCTTTAATATACGCATATGAATATCGATGAGAATAACAAATGCATAATATTCCTACAAAAATATAGCAATATCCGCCGGACATTTATGCGTATTATATACGTAGGGTTTAAGTCTACAATGAACGCTTTTTATACAGAACTGTGTTGCTATACTGAGAGTACACAAAAGGGTTGTTTGCTTTTCGTAAGGTACTTACCACTTTGTAAATCGATCATCTTTTTAATCTTGTTTATACTTACTGATAGTGTCTTGCGCAGTAAACACTGAAACGATAATTCCCGAATATAATCCAGCCAGCACTGGCTCG